ATTCTACATATTTTTAAAATTTGCTGTAGGGTGCATGTGTTCACCAGAGACAGATGGACGGAAGGTGCCCAGGCTGCACTCCCTTCGTATCCATTTTCCTCTCGGGACCAGGTCCGGAACCTAACCACAGTCAGCCATGTGGGAGTGCAGTGCCCTTAACTACTTTGCCACCTGCCGGCCCCTTCGATTTCTTTTTCACTTACTGTAAAACAATGTGTGTGATTAAAATATTTTTATTCCAAGGTATTGGAAAGTTATGCTGGCAAAAAGCTTAGCATCTCATTCTGCATCAGCTTTGCCAACAGTTATTTATGTACTTCACTGACGGTTCTGCAAAGCATCTGAATCCTTAAATTATGTATAGCCGTGCTAACAAGGACATAAGCCTTATGTAAAGTAGCGAATTAAATACGACTGCAAATGCACTGCGCCACGCCCGTCCTCAGTCGACCGGATCAAGCATTATTACAGTCACAATATGAAATATTTACTCTGGCAACAGGACACCACTAGATCAACTCCTTTAAGCAGGAAGACAACACGCAGTCTGGAGAGTCCAGTGGGATACAAGGTCCAGTGAGCTGGAGGACTTTAAACAGATGCATCACCGTTAGGGGCAGACACGCCAGCTTCTGCACGGCTCCTGAGCTGAGGGCTGAGAACGGCTGCACGGTCAGAGGTTGAAAAGCAATTGGAGAAGACGGAGTTTATGAGGTGACCTGAAATCCGCACAGCAGGCCCCTACCCGGCGCTGCCCCAGCCGCACTCACCTGCTGGGAGCTGTCCCCAGCGGCTTCCACACTGTGATGGGGGCTGACCAGAAGCTAAGATTCCCAGGACCTCAAGTACTGGCTGCCTCTGCAATGTGGGGGCAGGTCCCGGCCCCGGCCGCGGCCCCGGCCCCGTCGAGGCGCTTTCTGGCCTGAGTGTTAGGTGGCACGAGGTCCAGGCAACTTAGGCCCGGTAGCTTCTGGCTGTCACAGGCTCCCTGTAATTCAGGTCTGCCACCCAACCTCATCGTCCCTGTCCCCTGCCTCGGCAGTCTCTCGCAGACCAAGGTCACCCACAGCCTGCACGTGCCCCGAGCTGCTCCTACGGCTTGCACCTCTACTCCTTCATGTGACGACGGAAACTCCCGGATGTGACAGGCCTGGCTTCCTGCCACCGAGGCCCTCACCACCCGGGGCTGGTCGGCGTCAGCAGGGCAAGGATGCGACTCCCCTGCGTGCGGTGCGCTTCCCTCTGTCCCTCACCGTCCTGAGATTGTCCTTCCGCACCCCCTGCAGTGTCAAGAATGCCAAATGGGACGCCTGGAGATTTTGGAAGGTGGGGAGTTCCTGGGCCTTGGCAGGCCTGGCGTGGCAGCGTCACCCCTCGTCACGTGAGCCTCGTCATTCAGAAGCAGAGCTGACCAGACCGACTGATACAGGGACAGCCGTTCCTTCTCAAAGGCGGACACGTGCCCCTTCGAAGCACAGGGGCTGAGGAGAGAACAGGCCAGAGGAGCGGCCAGCTCACCGGACCGTGAGCCCGGACAAGTGCGAGCGGAGCCTGGAGCAGCCTTTCCAGCCTGGTGGGCTCTCCACGGGCGTCCGGGAGGCAGAGGAGGGAGACGGTGAGCCGAGGCTTCCCTCAGTCCCTGTGTGGCACGTGCTCCCCCGGGGAAAGGCCCGGCGCCCCTCTGTCGCAGAGGCGTCCGCACAGGTTGAAGGGGAGAGACCCATAGCAGGGGCAGGGGAAGGCTCCCGGTCCTGCCTCCCGCTGCTAAATGGAGACCACGACTATGGCACGCCCATTTCTGGAGAAGGTCCTGTGTGCCATGCCCAGGGTCCCCGGAGACCCCGGCATCCTGGTGCCTCACCCAGGGCCACTGAGCGGATGGGTGGCCACACTCACACCCACACCCACACCCACACCCGCCAGGCTTTGGGGCCCTCCGCATCTGGGAGCCGAGCAGCGCTTCCAGTCCGACCTAGGCCTTCCTGAGTCAGACTCGACATCTGACTTTAATTCCGCCTGGCTCTCGGCGCCTTGTCTCCCTGCAGGGTGAGTGCTCTCCATCCACGGGGGAAGCGCAGCCTGGCTCTGCTGGGGGCCCGGTCCCTGCGCTGTCGAGCTGGCGAGACGGGTACACCGGTCCTTTTCTTTTTAAAAATTGTCAGGGCACGTGTGCTGCTCGCTGGCGAGACGGGCTGGGGAGAAGCGCGGGGTGGTCGCGCGTAGTCCTTTCTGCCGTCGCTCCCTTCCCTTGAGATTCGGGCCCCTCACGTGCGTCCGCTGCATTCAGACCTCTGTCTCTGCATCTCAGGCCGCACCTGCAGCGTGCTCACGCCGCCTTCACCACCAGGCCACAGCCATGACCTCTCCTCAGGAACTTTCAAAATCCACTTTGAGATCCCTCTGCGTTACCCTGAAGGTCACTGGGAGCCCAGTCAAGGGAGTGCAAAAACTTAGGTTACCATGCCAGCCGGTGGTGCAGAGGTTAAGTCACTGGATCCCATATGGCCGACTGCATGGTTCAAGTCCTGTACACGGCAGGTTGAAAATCACACAGGCTGTGCTTGTACGTGTGTCCAAAACCCTGAGAGAAGTATGGAGGAGACCCCTGAGGGTTTGGCATGACCATCCCCTTGGGGGTGATCTCTTACTCTCTCTTTCTCCCTCTTGCTCTGTCTCTCTCTGGTGAGCCCATACGACCTCTAGCAAACTTTAAAAACAAAGTTGAATCATTTTGTTTGCCTCCACGATGGAAAGCTCGGCTTCCCCGGACATGGGGACAAGTGGAGGGTCTGTCTGGGGCTCTGACTGGCGTGTTTGACTTCCCTGAACTACGAGTAGATGGGATCCGTTTGAGGCTGGCGGGGGTGGGGAGGGCCAAGGTGCACAGCAGTGTGGTGCCCCGGGACAGGGTCGGCCTTCAGCAGGGGCGTGGGCACCGGGCTCTCCCAGAGGGACCTCCAGACATCAGTGAGTTTAAATCGTAGGCAGTAGGCAAGGGAGGGGAAAATGATATATAAGATGTATCTATTTTCTGTTTTTAGATTTCCTTTTCTTTTTTCTTTTTTGCCATAGGGCGCATGTGCTTGCTGGAGAGAGACAGGGGAGAGGGAGATGGCCACGCCGCAGTCCCTGCTCTTCTGTTCTCCTCCTGGGATATTCGGGTGCACACATTCATGTGCCTGGCACACCGGGCCCAGGATTTGAACCACAGCGTCAGTCATGTGGGATCCAGCGCCTTCACCACCATGCTACCTGCTGGCCAATGATCTTTGTATTTCTGGATATGCATAAATATTATATAAACACATAGAAAAAGGCCTGGGAAGATCCCTTACCTTTTGAATTTATCAAATTGTTTGAGGACTCATTGAAGGGAAATGAAGAGGTCGGAGAAAAGGCCGGGTGGTGGGACAGTGTGGCAGCGTGCACACAGAGCACTGCCTCTCCCGGCCCGGAGGGGCCCGGACATGGACTCGACATCGAACGAAGCCGTCTTCCTTGTCTTCGTAGGTGTGGAGAGCCAGGGTAGGACTGC